CCCCCCGTTCTCTTTCTTTCTTTTTTTTCCCCCCGCATTAATCAGTCTTGGCATCGTAAAACATTTATAGGTGCTTCGATATATTTAACTTACAGAGTAACGTCTAAACGAATGTCGATGAGTTTCATCCCGCTTTCACGCCCGCTTTCTGTCCTTATTTTGACCCCGGAACCCCCGCTGCTCCAACGCTTTGCACGCCTCCCCCTCTCCTCAAGTTTATACGTATACGCGATAAATTTTATACACACATGTATGTATTCATATGTATATTTAATCTCGTCAGCTTAAAAATATATTATTGTCCTTAGATGTGAGAACGTTCAACATTCAACGCGAGATTACTCCTCTTACGCGTCTCTTCTCTCTCATCGTCGTTCACCGCGGCTCTCTGTTTCTCTGTACTACTATACATCCCGAACGAAAAATAAATGTACAAGTCAGCTTGCTGATGTTATCGTATCTGCGATTTATCCTTCCTTCGGCGATCCGGTCCTTCCCCGTTTGAAATTCTCTCGCACAGCTTTGGCAGGAATCACGTGTCTCCTTCTCTTATCGAGCTCGAGCTCGGTTTCCTTCCTTCCGGCATCTCGTTCCCCTTTCGCCTCGTCCTCCTCACGAATTGCGTTCAGAGGCCACCCTTTGTGTGTGTCCCTGTTCCCTCCCGTTTCCCCAGAAACGAACACCACCGAACGACTTCCTTTCGCGTTCGTCTTCGTCGGTTTTTAGGCTGGTGCTAACTCGTCGAGGACAGAAGCGTCGTCCAGTCGACGAGCGTGGCCAGTGGCGACGTCACGTTGACTATCGTCGTTTCCGGGATTCGTTATCATACATCGTTGTCGTGACAGTACTCGATCTTCCGCCTGTTCAACTGAAGATGCCGTTTGTCCACCACGAAGTCCGACACGCAGCCCTTGATGCCCCGATGGCCTGGTTTCCCGCCGACGAACAGCTTGCCGTTCGTCGTTAACAGGCTGGCCTCTGTCGATACTTTCACCGGGGCGAAGTCGTCGATCTGTATCATTGACGTCCTCCGTCTTCTTGATGCTCTGATATAATGGAACACGCCGTCGTCCACTCGCTCCTACGCCGAAGAAATATCGATAATACAATAGTACAATAGTAATTTGCTAGATAAATTATACTAATTTACTAGTACAGTAGTAATTTAGTGATTAGTGAACAGACTGTAGTTCTTTACGCGTATATAGAGAATTTCAAAGTTCAAAGTTACACAGAATATCCATAATTTAAATATCCAATATCCATTTGGAGTATAACGCTTTTCACGACATTCTCAGTTAAGAGTAAAAGAATTTTCTCTTTCGGGTTTCTGGCAAGCACATTCCCAGAAATTTAACTCGTATATAAAGATCTAGCAGTCTATTAACTGGCGATTTGATTGATCGATGGTAACTAACTTTAGATTCGTTTAATTTGAATTAATAACAAACGAGTTGAGAAAATGAGTACAAACCCTGCTATTCAGAGATATCTGCTCGCTCTTAGTTTTGTACGTAAGAAAAACTTGGCCGCCGTGTAACGACAAGATGAGGTGTTCGATCTTCCCTCTTCCGACCCAGGCGATCAAACCATCCGGATGCGTCGTTCTCAATCTCAGCTCGAACTTATTCGACTGCTGACCTTTCCGCCTAAAATTATTGTTCCTATTAATTTGTAATCCACTATGCTCGGTGCTAAACATCGAGCTACAGTGTCATAGAACAAACACGTAATAATACATAGAAGCAAGCGTTGCTATAAAATGAACAAAGATCGATACGAATATCAACCCTAGTAACCTTGTGATTCGTGGACTGTAATTTTGAAATTTTCTGCTTTTTCATTCGTTAAGCGTATGTTAACCATCGTCAGCATCTTCCACGAATGAAAAATGTTGATTCGAGAAGTGACAAATGTCGAAAGCTTTCGCGATTAGGTTCGAAGGGTGTGACATTGGCATTCTCTCTAATTTGGAATGAGCAGGTGCAGGCAGTAAAACAGGCACAGAGAATGAGATCTCTCCCTCAAACGAGTACACCACAGCTATTCTTCCTAGAAACTTACTCCGTGTAATCGTAACTGTCGTAATCGTAGTCGACATCCTCCTCCAAGTCGTAGTCGGAGTAGGACTCCTCAAAGTACTCGCCGAGGGTAGTATTAGTCGAGTTAGTACTAGTCGGTGTTACACAATCAAAAAGGTTAGTGATACTTTGATCGAAAGAAGGATCTAATTAGTCTACCAATTACTAATTGTTTTTGAACAACCTAACTTGGTGCTCCTAATTTCGGAATAGTACCTTGAGAGGTGTTAGATGCAGTGACTTAGGAGTTATGCGATAGAACTTTTTAGAAAACATTTTCCCGTGATCGCGTTAATCATTTTCGTTTACCTTCTTCCATTCCGGTGTCTAAACTGCAAGAAATTATCGCCTTTGAAGCGCACTGGTCTTTCGGATAATTCCGTGGATACATCGTAGCCCATGACTAGAAATACCGAGGGAAAGAGAAATTTTTTTAATATAAAATACAACTTGTTGCTAGACTGCGAATTTTTATGTAACGAGTACTCCACTTTATACGTGCTTAATATAAAATGCAAAGCGTGTGCAGAAGTTACAAGGAATCGCATTATTAGATCAAATTATATTATTCGGATTTATGCACAGGAATTTTTAAATTAATATCATGTAATTAAGATTATATTTCAATATTTATTGTTCTATTGTATTGGTTAATACAATACTTTTGAAAACACAAAGAATGACTTTCCTAATATGGAATAGGTACGTACTTCGAGAGAATACAGAATTGTTGAAATTCAATTGCAATTGATTATTATAAAATGAAATACCGGTGTTAGTTTTAAAAAAAAGGATTAATTTTAATTGAAAATTACTCAATTTCGTTATTAATTAATATCTCCTACAAAATCGTAATATTTAAAGCTATCGCAAATTGATAAAATATATGCATAAAAAAGGTTTCCCATATTGGAGTAACTCGCGCTATTACATACAATCTGTGCAATTTTGCATTACTAAGTTTCTTTACAAATACATGAAAATCCGCAGTCCACTTGTTAGTAGTTCCATTTATTCACGCGATACGTAGCAAAAGATACTTACAAAATTCGCAATGAAGACCGTTGTAACCGGTGGCACATTTGCACAGGTAGCTGTTTAATAAAGGTAGGCAAACTCCGCCATTGTGACAGGGATTCTCATTGCTAGGACACGGTAAGCCATCGTAGATTTCCGTGTTGTGTTGAGTAACGTTGACGGCTAGATTTTGGTAAGTTTTCCCATTTACCATTAATCTCTGCACCGCACCTACCAATCCAGTCCAAGCACCGGCAAGTCGATGAACCTCTCGCCAGTGTCTAGAATTTGAAGAAATGTATGCTGCTTCTCATCGAAAATACACATTTTCATTCGACCAGATGAGAAACTGTTTGGAAACTCACTTAACACCGCCAACGTAAAGAGGCATTTCTAGATTGAGCTCGGTTAATGGACTTCCGGATAGTCCTCTGGCAACCGTTCCGTCGTCCAATTGGAGAACGCCTTCTCTACCTAGCCTGCTGATGCGGACACAATGCCACGTATCGAGAGTAACCGGGTCCGGGGAAGTAATATTGGCGATACCACTTCCAAGATTGAATCTAAACTCCAGTTTGCCTTGGACTAAATTCAGACTAATGAAATCACCGCGTCCGTTGTTCAATTGGCCATTGTAAAGTAGCAAACCGTCGCTGGCGTGCGTGAGGAACCATAACTCGATGGAGAACGCTTTCGCTACACCCTCTAAGCACGACAGTTCCAGAAACCCGTCGCCAGACATTTCCGGTATCAGTAGTTCCGTTAACTCAGCGTCGACTGTAATTAATTCAACGACAACAATTATTCGACGAGGAAACTCTGCCGGTGACAGAGATGAACGTTACTAATTTCAACTCGTTAAGAATCAGTTTCTTTTCGTAATTCAATATATATTAGAAAGTACAGAAAGGAAATTCCAATTTTCCTTTCTAATACTTTCCATCCATGTTCTATAATTTTGTAAATTTTGTGGGATGAGGATACCTGAGTCGAAACCTTCTCTGTGGCTTAAGACCGAGGCAATTGTCGCCTGCTGAGTGTCGCTTATAATTGTTAAAGCTATGCTGGAAATGTTTACCTTAGCCGCCCAGATTTAGGATTCAAATATTAGGGTATGGTTGTATTTGTGTGCGTAAGTATGCGAGTGACGAAGGTTTCGTAGAGACAAATCATGAAGGAATTAGGTAAAGAATATCGAGACATTTGAGAGTGAAGATACGAAGACTAGTGAGTTGCGAGAAAATACAGAGAGTAATAAGACAGTAGACAGTGCGGATCGAGACTATTCTAGCGAAGAGCGAGTGACAGTATATAAATTTAGCGAGAGCTTCAATATTTTTGTCATCGGGAATTTAAAAGGAAGAAGTCTCGATGCGACGATGACAAATATAAGTACGCATTACATAACAATATAATATAAAATATATACCAATATTCGTACATGATTAGCCAAGTTCTGAATCGGGACACTCATTGACGAGTGAACAAGTACAATCCAGATATAAACCAGGTATATAAGTCAGGTACCATAAATTTTTTTAGAGTATCAACATTCTTGTTCTGGCATTAATAGTGACAATATGGACGCCAGGCATCATGCGAATGGAGTGTCGAAGCGAAGGAGTGTCAAAGTGGACTTCATTGCCAAACTTCCGCTGGAAATATCTCAAAAGATTTTACGTAATTTAGATCGAATATCTTTGTTACGTGCAGGGCAAGTATCACGTAAATGGCTGCAAGTTTGCAGATCTGACAAATGTCTCTTGTCAGACAAACTACGAGAATTCCTAAGTCACGGAAGCGGATAATCACCAGAGAGGTTTTCGCAGCAAGTTTAGGATGTACGATCTATATCTCGGATTTATACGTAATTGAATATGTAGATGACAAGAAATAAATATAATTTTGTCATTGCCGTAGTCTTAATCCCTTGATTTAATAAACTTTATTTATCTTTATTTGAAACCACGTGGGCAAAATATAATTATTTTATCCTTACAAAATACCCCGGTTCCTACACATTTTATAACTTCATATTCGTGTCTTTCAATCTTTCAAGTGGAAATACAAAAAGTTATAAGAAGTACTTATAGTATTACGACCAGCTGTTTCTCAACGAGTTAACGTACGGACGAAATGTATAATTAATTTTTTACTCACGGTTCTCGCAATGTTCTCCGGTTCTGCCTGGTGGACATTTGCACACGTAACCACCTTGCGGCAGGATGTCGCAAGTGGCTCCGTGTTGACAAGGTTCGCCTATACAAGGATCCAAGGACTCCTCGCAGTTTCTACTGGTGAACTGCGGTGGACAGATGCATCTGTAATCAGGTGGTTCGAATTGCTCCACCGCGTAGTTTCCATGCTCGAAACTGGCCTCGTAATCGACGTCGTAACGTTTCTTAGCGTTCTTCTTCGATCTGCGTTGATCGATCGAAGTGCAATGAGTTCCCTCGCATCTCACGATGTTCATCCCGTTCTTGTTCTTGCCCTTGCCCCGTTTCTGGATTCTTCTGCACTCGCGGCCGTTGCACCGATCCTCCTCGAAGATCGGCTGACACGTTGCACCGTTTTGACATGGCAGATTCGCGCACGCGTTCTCTCCGCACTCCTTCACGCGGTAAGTTTCCAAAATCTCTTTGTTGCGGCCAACGTGGAGGTCGACGAAGTTCCGATTGATCTTCAGTTTTCGTATGCAACCCAGGAAACCGTGGTTGGTGCCGATGTTGTCGTAAACCCTGGTCGGACAAAGGGTATTGTTAAATTGACAGAGATTGACAGAGGGGATGCGTTTCTATTGGTCTTAATGGCCAGGGCTATTGTAATGTGAGGGACGCATAGCCTAACGTAGTATCATTAGACCCATAAAGTAATTGCCAATATTACTTTATGGGACTGACCTTGCTGATAGTCATAAATCATGTGATCAGGAAGGAGCCCTTATATAGGTCGACTCCAACTCGTTCAAAAAAACATTTGAGTTCAGTAAAATAGTATACGACAAAGTAGAAATATAACGATGACATGACTATCTTCACCGTGGATTGCCAAAGAGATTGTTACCGAATTCTATTTTTCAACGAAGAAGAACGTCAGTTTGTAGTAAATCATTCTGGAGAGAAATACTCACTTGGAGTAATTCGTTGGCATATTTCCGACGAACGTGTCTTGATTCAGATCGAGCGATTTCAACATCCCTTGACTTTGACCGGCGATATCCTCCCCGTCGTTGAAAATCAGAACGCCGTCTTTATGGTATCTCTTCGCCGCGATTCGATGGAATGTTTTCATGGTAACTCTTTCAGGGGAGGACAGGATGACAGCACCGTTTCCTAAATTGTATCGAAATTGCACGTGTCTGTAAAAGAAAAAGAAAAAAGAAAAATGAAACTCTAAGTAATTCGTCAATGTAAAGCGATCCAATGAAGTCGGAAAATTTTTCAGGAATAATGTTCATCGAAATATTATTAATGCAACCAACCGCACGATACTAATTCAGGAGATAACAAGTACAAACCCGTCGACGATGGCTAACGAGACGAAATCCCCGGTGCCATCGCTCTTCTGTTGGTTGTAAAGTATAATCCCGTTGTCAGCGTACGTCTTGAACTCAACCTCGACGTTGAACTTGTGGTAAGCCTTCAATCTGTTCATCCTGACGTAGCTTTTGCCGTCGAACGACGGCACCTCGTAATCCCTTTTGTTGATCTCCTCGTCGCATAATAGACCGGTGTAATTTGAATGACAGATGCAAGCGAACGTCGCGCTCGGCAGATCGAGGCACGTCGACGTCGGGTGACACGGATACGACAGGCAAGCACGGAATTCTTCGGTCGGCGTAACAGGCACGTAATT